TTTTTAATAATGCTCAACTGCATGACTGGTTTTGCTGTCTTCTCTCTGTTGTCCCTCCCTTTCCCTTTTCTAAGAGGTCCGGTACATCTTTGGGATGTGGGATTGGACGGAGGAACCGTTTCAGCCCAAAACGGACATAACCGCCGACTAGGACCTACATTGATCCAACTGCAATCACCAAAATCCCTGTTCAGTATGGAGAACTGGACATACCCTCATATTTTCATAAATTATGCATCTGAAATTTCCAGACAGCAGAAAATTTAATTTTTACTCACCTGGACACACAACAAGACGACTATTCGCGATGCTCCGCTCCTCAACCGGACTCGTCAATCATGGCGGCCCCGATAAAACTACCTGTCCAACAAACAGAGGAAATTAGGAGTCATTTGTCTGCGAATTACGAAATACGAAATCAGTCGTCAAACGGATTTGCCAGTCATAAATTAAAGAACAAAATGCTTTACGGCAGTGTTGCAGGACGTGGTGGGTTTTCGCCTAGCAAGCGTTCTCCCTATAAAAAGCCACAAATGTCTGCTTAACAATACTGAGACGTGGCGGATGTGACTCGCCACTGAATAAAGTCACTGCCCACAACTACCTACTGGCAAGTCGACTAGACTGATATTTCAACTCTTCCCGACACACGCAAGAATATGGTACACACCGTCTACAAGCACTGTTACATTGCTCTTATAGTGCCTTGACCGTTTCAACTACACACGATTGAACCCGAAGTATCGTCGTGATACACAACCGCCTTTAAACCTTGATCACCCCTGATTTGGTGTGTCTCAAGGAATTTGAGAACAAACTATTTATTTTTATGTCCAATTTGCTACTGTCACTGTTACAGTTACCATAATATGTCTGTACAGTTGCACATACCTGATCATGCCTCCATGGACGTGTCTCGCATAGTCGAGAATAAAATATTTATTTATTTATTTACGCTTGACTGTTCTTTGGCGTGCAGTAGGGTCATTCCCTACAGAAACACTTGTCCGCCTCTACAGCACTTTGGCGCATCCGCTGTTGGAGTTCAATATATTGGTCCAAATGACGCACCCGAAGGAGGCCGATTCTGCTGGAAACCGTCCACAGCCGAGCCACTGAAAGACTGGCGGGACAATCTCACCTCGCGTTGAAAGAGCGCCTTTCGGTCCGTAAATTCCTCTCACTGAAGTATCGTAGGTTTCTTGGTGATGTCATTCCGGCTAGCCAGAAAACCTCCCGCGGTAACAGTTGGGTGTTTCTGGCTTAACCCGTTCCAGCAAGTAGCTCGGCGTCAGGGTTCCTGGAGGTGTTAGGTTTTCGCCTGGCAAGCGTTCTTCACAGAAAACCCACAAATGTCTGCGTACCAAACCCTTGATGTGGCGGATGCGACTCCCCACTAAATGAAGTCACTGCAGAGCTTACGCTGAGAAGCTTAATAAAATCCGCAGACGTTCAACCTTTATGCCGACACCGGTGATGCGATAGAACAGTATCAAATAACAGCAACACATTTACAAACACAAACAACACAGCCAACTACCACCGTAAAATAATGGATCCGCATATAATAACACCTACTTGTACTATTACACATTTTATGGCTAGTTGTAATATTACTATGATCATGCATTTAATAGTATGCGTCGCGTATCCGAGAATAAAAATTTATCAGTGTACTTAACCTACCTCATCCTGACTCATAGCAGACACCATAACACAGCTTTAATATTTCGCGCCCAAACAGACTGCTTAAAAGAGCACCCGCCATGCGCCAAGCTGTCTGCTAGTTGACACCAGTCCACTTATTTCGCCTTAATTTAACGGTACCTAACTGTCCCGTGTGGCATATTTAACTTCCCGTACTATCACGTCTATACCCTCACTATCATAGCAATCACACGGCCAACTTCGACCGTTTACCTGCACTTTAGTCTCTTTCTTCTAGGTAGCTACACCCCTGCAATCGAGGCGTTGAATACTTGTAAAATACAACTACCGAGGAGCAATTTACAACCTACCGAACCTACCAACAAGAACGAGACCCTGTTGTAAGACCACGAGGCAGAACCACCGAAAATGGAAGCTTACGCGGGCTACAAAACCCATGCAACCTCCGAATCTGCAAAGTAGTTGCGGCAAGAAGTCGTTAAGTTGTACCTTTTAAGTTGCTATCTAAGCAGCCGCTTCGAGTCGCCAACTAGATGGTTTAGGTTTATCAGATTCCGCGAACTAAGTTTAAGACAGGTTTCTGGAAGGCTGTGAGTTTTCGGCTTGGTGAGCGTTCTCCATATACAAAGCTACATATATCTGCTTATGGACAGTAAGACTTGCCTGATGTGACTGCCACGTGCAGTTCCGGATAATGCTATCCAACTCCTGGACATCCATCGTTTATTCTCACCTTCCTCGTGACATCAAACCTCAAAGTGCAGCGGCACACGATCAAGCCTAAACTACAAAATCAGGTGGCGGACCGAACAACTACCACGTGGTGCCAGCTTAGTGGTTCTGATTTAACCCGTTCCAGCAAATTTCTCGGCGTCATTGTTCCAGGAATTGGTCGGTCCCCGCCTGGCGAGTGTTCTTAAAGGAAATACGCACACAGATCCGCTTAACAACATTGACGTGGTGGATGTGAATCTTCACCAAATGAAGTCACTGCCCCCAGCTTATTCCGACAACCTTATCAAATCCGCAGACGTGCACCACTTGTTCAGACACCGGCGACGCTATGGAGCTCATTCCAAAGGAAAGTAAGACATTTACAAACACAAGAAACACACCTACCTACGTACCTAAGTTTATGCATGCACATGTATGAATATCCTATTATACTATCGCAAATTTCATGGTCTGTTGATGTAATATTACTATGACCATGTGTTTAATGGCGTGCCCCGCGTAACCATGGATGAAAATAAAGCTGTCTATTAATTTATGTCCACCCATACACATAAATTTATTGTTAGAGAAAACATGCATGTTGTACACTTTAACCACAATTTGTTATCTTAGCATTATCATGCAACCAATGACGTGCCTCGCGTAGTCGAAAATAAATAGTGTATGTAAGCACTTACTTACAAAAATGACACAGTTACACAAATAAATACCTACATGTGTATATACATTTAGAAATTGAGAAAACCAACAACTTTAAAAAATTTTGATCAATACACCATGATTCCATGATCATCATCATGGTCATGCCTGTGCGGTAGTGCTGTGTATCCTGGAACGTAAACGAAGTAATGATTTACTTATCATAAGCATGCAACGCTTTGCACTTATTCCTCCACTGAGCATTCTTCAAGCGATAGACACGCCTCCGCCTGATTCGTCAAATTAGTACTTGTCGTACATGGAAATGCATGGGCACTCTATCAGTTTCGGTGTAGTGGGAGAGTCGTCTCAGAAATTATTCCTCTTTTGGCAACAGTATCTTCCTATTTTTTGCCCGTAGCCGTTTTAGATTGATATTCAGTTAATGGTAACTCAAGAATGCGCTTTTGTACAGGTAAAATATCGGAAGATTAGATTGACATAAAAGGACAAAAATTGGGTTACTCTTTGCTATTTCTGTTTCAACTTGCTTGCCGATACCCGGAATATAAGTAACTACCTAACTCAGGCCTTACAAATGATTCCCTGACGGTTGCCCGCTTTGTTATGCCTCCTGCATGGTTCTCATGCAATTAACTCTGCTGTGGATAACGGTCCTCTCTGGTGTTTGAATCCATTGATAAGCTTACTTGCTCTGTGGATATGGTGCATCACACTAGCTATACGTACAACAGCAAAACACTTGAAAAATTCAGAAGAATTAGGATTGTTGCACTGAAGTCTTAAATAATTCAGCAAATTTAATCCGTCATATATTTATATCAAGTTCAAGTTCAATTTGGACAGGAACGGTAGGAGAATTCCCATGTGTGTTCCTTCTTCAATGCGTCGTTGAACCAGGATGGAGTTCGCGGGAGCGGTTTGGAGCCGAGAGGAGCCAAAGCAATACACACGAATCACATAACGGTCAACCAATCAATGCCCACGCGGCCTGCACTAGCAGTCCCCACTGTACCGGCCACGTGAATAGAATAAAGGTTAACAGAAGGGAACCAACAAAAAATGATGGTACTTGTAGTACAGGAGAGAATGTGTGGTTAAGACAATAATAGTAATAGATGTGAGAAGCCAAGGAAATTTATGTAGAAGTTAAGCACTAAACGGAAAGGATGAGATGCGTAGTAAACGCAAGTATACCGTCAGCAACGAAATCCGTTTCTTACGTTTAAAAACAGGGTTGACATGCTGTATCGCAATTCGTACAAGCCAGTCTACATAAAACCGCAGCGTGAGAACTTGTTATCCAATGTGCAAAAAGCTGCATCTACCTGAATTTAGGACTGCAACACAGAGGAAAAAATATATTTTCGTGTGTAAAGTTACTAAACCTTTTGCTAGGTTATTAGGTTGCATTATTGGGAAAACGGCCGTTGCTTTACTATCGCACAAAGCTTTGCCAAATATTATCTGTGTGCCGGGCTTTTCAAAGTTCTTGTGTGCGCTAGCACAATGCGTAAGATGGATCGGCGATAAACAGCTGTAAACGCTTTATGTACTCAAACGCATTGGCTTAATTTACTACTGTAATATAATGTGTATAGTGCTCAAGAACCTTAAAATGCTTAAAAAGTAAACGCTTAAATCATTTTAAAAACCGTTTGGTTGTTAAATGCACTGGTGTTAACAAACCGTGGCGACAAATAACGGACAACTATCGCTTGTATGTATAAAATTCTACAATATACTGTTTAATGTTTTTGCATCCGTATGGTTTAAAACTGCTCGATGGATGCGCTGTCTCGTGAGTTGCTAAAATTTATGTGGTAATTCATAACTATATATTTATGTCTTGTGTATTTATTCCCGCCACTGCGTTTGTTAATTTTAATCATATAATCCTTTTTTGTGGGACATAAAAGTTACTTTGAAAAGCGTTGATGCGAAGTTGTTGCTACTCGCAGCCTTCCCTCAGGTTATCGCAACGATCGCCGCATCCTAAAATCATGAAAGTTACTTTCAAGACCCTTAAGCAACAAACATTCGAGCTAGAACTCAAGGAAGATGACTTGGTTTGTGCTGGGAACTTGTGAAATTGATTGTGTAGGTACGTGAAGTAAAGAATCGGATAGAGGCTGAAAAAGGACAGGAATACAGCGCTGGGTCGCTAACTCTAATACATTCAGGTTCGTCACCATTCTTCAGCTTATGTGCTTCATTCAGGGAAAGTTATGGAGGACAGCAAGAACTTAGGTGATTACAAAGTTACAGATAAGGGGTTTATCGTCGTCATGTCGGTCGCAAAACCGCAAAAAGAATCGGCTTCTGATGACAAACCTATGACGGCTGATGCTGCGAATCCGCCGCAACCGCTTACGGCAACTCCAGTTGTCCCACCTACAGTGGCCCCACCTGGCATCGTTGGATCTGTTGTGCCTGAAACAGCAACTCAGAACCTTAGTACTGGTGAGAGTGCCTTAGTTACTGGTGCGGACTACGAACGCGCAATATCTGAAATCATGAGTATGGGCTTCGAAAGGACAATGGTTTGTTATACTTATGATGCATTATAGGTGTAATTTTAGGTCATCCAGGCTATGCGGGCCAGCTTCAATAATCCTGACAGGGCGGTGGAATACCTTCTCGCCGGTAACATTCCAAGTGTCATTCACGAACAGCCCCCTTCTGCCGAAGTTAATCCGGACGGATCACGACGTACGCTTCCTGGTGAAGACCGTTCTGTTTCCGAATCAGCCGAATCTGAAAGCCCCATAAACGCGCTCACTGGCCTTCCACAATTTCAGCAAATGCGTGCATTGGTTCAAGGTAATCCAGAGCTGTTACCACAGCTGATACAACAAATCAGTTCAGAAAATCCAGAATTTTTACGGGTGCGTCTCCATTCTACCTCTTTTTATATTGTCATTACTGTTCGGCATCATTAGTGCATCAGTGCTGATCGAGAAGAATCCGAACTTTTTTAATAGCGCGCTGTGACTGCTGAGGGCACGCCAACGGTCATACCGAAACGCGGCAAATGGCAGTTTGTTGCCTATACAGACCTCTACGAGCCTCTAATAGTCGCAACGCGCTCCCTCTACTGATGGCGCGCTATGAAGCTTTCCTTTAGTAATTTCTTGGTGCTCTGGCCGTCGCGGAGGATAACAAACAACACCCTACCTGCTACATCGTTCAGGGTAGATAGGAGTTTGGATGCTACTGCTCAAGTCCTTCCGTCTTCGTATTTCACCTCATGCTTTTTCACCCTTATCATCTTGTTCCAACTTCGCCGCCTTAAACCCCCAATTCTTGGCCCTCTTCTCACGTTGCTTTAACAAACCTTTAGCTTCAACTCACATGCAAACGTGGAACATCGCTACTGCTCTGTCGACAAGCCCATGTCCAACCATGCGGTCGAGCTCTGTTCATCAGCTTCCATTTGGAGCCCTCGATCTTCCCTCAGATTAGCGTGCTTCAATGTACGCAGTTACAGCTCACTCAACAGGCAACACTTAACCGAACATTAGAGACCTTCTGAATCGATATCTGCTGCTTATTGGAGATCTGCATACACGACTCAAGCTTTGCGTTCGATTTGCGGTCCTTTAGCTCATGTCAGCAATACCTCATTGCGCTTATCCGGAGACGATGCAGCTTCGAGTCCCGGCCAATCCGGTGTTGACATTGCCCTGAGTCACCGGCTGAAGCTGCTCTGGTTGTTTGGATTCCAATCAGTAGACAAAAATGTGCGATCCGACTGGCTGGCTCAAACAAAGCTTCGAAGTCGTGTGGGACTAGCGGGTTTCTATTCGTCATCGTTGCCTACACGCCCACAAACTGCAGAGCTGATTCACTAAGGGACGACATCTATCCCTAACTGAACAGGCTCCGCCACAAAACTAGCACGGCCACTAGTGCTGTCGGGGGATCTGAACGCTCAAGTTGGAAAGGTATCCACTGATAAACTGCATCTTGGCAGCCAACACGGTGTAGGCTGCCGTAATGATAACGGTGAGCGGTTATTTCGTTTGTGTCAAGATGCTCGCTGATTTCTTGCGAGCAATAGCTACCGACACAGCACCCGCCGCAGCGTGACATGACGCCCACCAGTTAAACCAGCCATGGATGCAAATCGACAACGCAATCATTTAACGATGGAGAGGCTGCGTCCAGCACTGTCGCTGGATTTGGAGCACATGTGTGGACACTGGCCATGTACTTGTATGTGCTAATCTGCGGATGCATTTCGGCGGACATCCACGACGATCTTGTGAGCGCTTTCCGTCGCAGTGAGACTGGACCTTAACGTGGTGCGACGGTTTGCGTACCTCATTGACCCATTGAGCTATACTGGGTGATGCCACCGAGCATCTTGAGAGTTACTCCTACCAGGTTGGTCAATGGTGAGAGGTCAGACAAACTCAGTCTCCTGGTCCTCCAGGTTGGGGGTTTGAAATGGGATGGCGTCCATTTCTGTAAAACTAAATCACTGCCACCCCGCTGCCTTGCGGACAGGCTTTTGAGCCAAAGGCTTTGGATGAGGACCCTAATCGTTCTCCTGTCTAGGTCTGGGCGCCCTGGCAGTATCCCAGCCTACATACAACTATGACATTTTCTTCAAACATAAACTTCATCCTGCATCGGCCGTCACGCAGATTATCAAGGGTCGCCTTATCTGCTGCATACAGCAGGGCGGATAAGCGAAAACATGCTACTGCTGGCGCCTCCCTTCTTTCTTTTCCACCTTTTTCTCTTACTCCCATCCCGACCCCATTACCAACCTTTCTATAATTCCCAGCTTAATTGACAGCAACCGAAGTGCTACTGGAGTAGTACCATCTGCAGCCACCATCCCACATCACCTACCGAACGCCTATCGGCAAAAGTCCCTTATAAGGCCACGCTGTCCCGTTTCCATGGCGACATTCAACGTCCGCACTCTAAGACAAACAGGTCAGCAGGCTGCACTCGCAAGCACCTTGAACACACTGGGTGTTGATGTGTGTCGTGTGTCCGAAACTAGGATTAATGACCCTAACGGGGTTATTGAATTGACTGCACCCGGCTTATTCTCTCGTTATTGGTTGCACGTATCCGCAGACGCCGATGCAGCACTCACTGGTCAAGCTGGTGGAGGTATCATTCTCAGCTCCAAGGCTGAGTCATTGTTGGTTGATTGGATTCCGGTGAACAGCCGTTTATGTGCAGTCCGTTTGACGACATCAGCTAAGGTGAATTCGCGAAGTAAAACAAAACGCTGTTTGTTTGACTTCCGCTCATGCTCCCACCGACTGCATTTCTAATGCAGTCAAGGACACTTTCTATCACGAACTAAATGCGCTATTACGCGGTGCTACTAGTTCAGATATTATAGTACTTGCAGGGGATATGAACGCACAAGTAGGGCGTCTGAGCTCTTCAGAAGCTCAGCTGGGTGGTAAGTATGGACTTAACTCTGAACGGACTGACAACGGTGAGCGTCTGCTGCAACTGTGTGCGGATCACCAGTTGTTTCTTACTAGCACTGCTTTTAGACACAGTGGGCGCCGAAGTGCCACTTGGCGTCCACCTGTAGCTGGCCAGCGATGGACCCAAATTGACCACATAGCCATAAGTTACAGGTGGCGCGGTTCCATTCTGGATTGCCGCTCATACTGGAGTACCTGTGTCGACTCTGATCATGCCTTGGTGCGCTGTCGTTTCTCCATGAACTTTACCGGAAGGCGCACAAAGCGTCTCCCCCGATTGGCAACTGAGAAATTGTCCCAGCCCTCGGTCAGGCAAGCCTATCAAGAAGCACTGCATACCGAACTTTCGCTGTCTGGTGTTAATGACACTGAACTTCAGTGGAATAGGATCTCGGCCGCTTCGCTGCCAAGCGACCATCACTCGTCGCGCGCGGGCTGAGTATACCGCGAGGACGCCCACCCCTACGTGGATTCGAACCGGTGACCTAATGGTTGCAAGCAAACGTGTAGACCACTCGGCCACCGGCCGACCGTTGGAAGCTAGAAGACACCTCCCGGCTGGTTCTGAACACAATGTGACCAGACGGGCTATTAGGCGTGAACTAAAACGGAGCCTACGTGCTGACAAGGAAGCCTGGTGGACCAGTCGGGCTCAAGAAATGGAGGAGGCGGGAGCAGTAGGCAATTACCGCAAGCTCTTCCAGCTAATCCGCACCACTGGTCCGAGAAAACCAGGCGTCAGTGAGACAATCAGGGATAGCGCGGGTGCGCTGATACAGAATCAGGAGCGCCGTATGGCTCGTTGGGCTGAACACTTTGAAGATCAGTTCAGCTGGCCCCCTGCTCCCGGACCTCTTCCTACTCAGGTGATGCAGGACGAGCCATGGACGGTTAGTTTAGAGCCTCCGTCGGAGGCCGAGGTCCGAAACGCGATCACAGCCCTCAATCGTTTTCGTGCCGCTGGCCCGGATTCCCTCCCACCTGCACTGTTCAAGGATGGAGGTGAGGTCCTCTGCAGGGCACTGACCTCCCTATTCGAACGTATCTGGAACGAAGAGAATGTGCCAGCTAATTGGATCGAATCGATTATAGTGGCAATATACAAGAAGGGCAGTCGCACAGACTGTTCTAACCATAGGGGTATTAGCCTAACGCCAATTGTGACAAAATTATTGGCCTCGATTCTCCTTCGTCGCCTCACTGCAGAACGGGAATCTCGGACTAGGGAAGAGCAGGCCGGTTTTCGCCCAGGACGTGGCTGTATAGACCATATATTTACTTTGCGGCAGGTGCTAGAGCAGCGCCACGCATACCGCAGACCAACAATAGCTGTGTTCCTCGATTTCAAGAGCACGTTCGATTCGGTCGATTGATCGATTCTGTTCGAAATACTCGCGCGGAAAGGTGTTCCCACGAAATATGTGAACATCCTTCGTGCTCTATACTCGAACACTACAGGCCGCGTCAGGGTCTATGGTGTCCTATCGGATAGCTTTTCGACTACAGGTGATGTTCGTCAGGGTTGTCCGATTTCCCCGTTTTTGTTCAATTTCCTTGTGGATTCTATCATGGAGTGTTCCCTTGCGGAATCTCATGATGTAGGCGTTGAAGTGTTGCCTGGTGAAAGGTTAGTTGATCTAGATTATGCGGAGGATATCGTCTTGCTTTTCGACCATGTTGCGACGGCCCAATCGACCCTGAATGGCCTGTCCAGAGTGGTCCCATTATTTTGTATACACTTCGCACCTTCAAAGTGCAAAGTGTTGCTACCGGACCACCAGCCACTTGATGACCCCTTGACGCTTGCTAACGATGAACTCGAGGTGGTTGATCAGTTCACTTATCTTGGCAGCTGCATCAGCAATGATGGGCGCATAGAAACTGACGTCAGCTCACGCATTGCAAAGGTCAGAGCTGCCTTCTTGAACCTGCGTCATCTTTGGCGACAGAAGGGAGTTTCCCTCCGCCTGAAAGGCCGTGTATACAAGGCCACAGTGAGAGCCGTTCTGCTCTATGGTAGTGAGACTTGGCCCTTTCGGTCTGAAGATCTGAGCCGCGTTCAAGTCTTTGATCATCGTTGTTTGCTGGTGTCGGATGGAACCAGCGTGTCCGCAACGATGATTTGCGTAGGCGAGTACTAGGTGGTG